ACCTTAGTGCTCTTCAAGAGTCATGAAGCAGTTTGGTTTGCTTCTTCCACTGCATCAACACCTGGAGTGGGTTTGGGACCAAGTCATCTCGTTTTCCTCCTTCGCAGTCAGCAGCACATGCGAAACTCTGCTCCCGCTTGGAGACTTTGCTGTATGGAGGGAAGGGGGCTGGGAGATATCCTCTCAAAAATGTTAATACCCGCTTGTTGGTGCAGAGATTTCTCAGGTCTGCAAAGCCCTGGCAGGTTCAGGAGTTCACTGGCAAACCTGGAGGGCGGCGAGGTGTCCCTTCAGCATCACGTGAAACAGTTTCCCAGGCTGGGCTCTGGGGGGGGCACCGTCCTGGAGATGGAAGAAGGAATCCCACCCCCGTTGGCACCCCAGCCCTCCTGCTTCTGGGGGGTGACAGCACAGGAAGAGGCAGCAGAGACCTGTTCAGCAACACGGGCACCTGTGAGGAGCAGAAAGCTCCTCCTGTGTGGAGGCAGATGTGGGCAGGGAGCTTGTTCCCTGGAGAGGAGGCCAAGTGGGGAGAGATTTTTCTTCCTCTCCACTAAAAGGCTTTTTGTGGCAAAATAGCCTGCAGGTCCTAGCAGAAGCTCTCTTTTTTTTTTTTTTCTCTTTGAAAAATAGCAGGAAAAATAAGCAAGCCTTGCTGCTTTCAGGTGACCTACTTCCCTCTCCTCACCTTCCTCCCACAGCTGCCAAGGTGGCACTGGTGACCAGAGTGAGGGAGGCCAGGAAAAGCCACTTCTTTCTTGGTGTTGTTTGTTTTGTTGTTGGGGTGTTTTTCCTGCAAATGCCTGTCCACAGTGACAGAGATAGGGTGAAGACTGCACCTTCCCTCCCTGCCCAACATGAAGGCAAGTGCTGTGCTGGGAAGGCCACCTTCCCCCTGGTGCTGTGCTCTTCCCCGGGGTACCCGGGCAAGAGGGGAGGATGACGACGAGGCGGGGAGGATGCCGCAGCAGCTCTTCGACGTGTCTCCGCTCTGTCAGCCTGATGCGCTGCGACAGTTCTGCTGAATTGCTGACCCGAGGGGCTGCGCTGGGGCTATTTATGGAGAGACAAAGCCGGGGAACACCAGGCAGGAGGCCAGCCTGAGCTATCTGCAGCCAAGAGCAGGTCATCTTTGGGGTTTCTTGGGTGGCTCAGGTGGAAAATGCGCTGTTTGGTGAAGGTCACAGGGAAAACCCCTGTAGGGCTTCTGGTTTATATGAGATGCAGCCCCTTGGCCCTGGTGGTTTGATCCTGTTTGTAGGTGCGGGCTGGGTTTGGTGTCGAGCATCTGCATGGAGGATGGAGGACAGTGAGCCATCCTTGGATGGCCCTGCAGCTCAGGAGCAGCCCAGATGCTGATAGCAAAGTTTATTTTTAGGCAGCGGTTGTGATCAACTTTTCCTTTTGCAGGGAAATACCAAACCATTAAACCAGATCTCTGAGTAGAGGGCAGCACCCTTTAGCTGCTCTTCTATCATCCAAGTTTATTTTTGTCTTGCACCTCTAGCGCAGCAGTCTGGGAGCTAACAGAGGAAGACTGAAGACCTTTAATAATTCATAGCTCCTGTGTTTTGCTCCCAGGGATCAGAAAAGTGAGTTACTGGAAGGGCACTGCCAGAAACCTGCTCTATCCATACCACAGGACTCGGCCTCAGCATTGTGGCCACCATGCCTACACCGTGCTCTGCCCGACGGGCTGTCCGTGCCTGGTTCCTTGTGCAGGCTAGTTGGGCCCTGACCCAGTCAGGGGGCCCGGGCAGTCCCTGGGCATCTGTGCTCACAGCAGGACGATGTTCAGGGTGGGGGAGCAGTGGGGATGTGGCAGCAGGTCCGCCCCAGCATGCTTGGGACCAACCTGCTGTTGTCCAAGCACGTGCTGTAACCTTAATCCCAGGCTGTCGGCCCCTTGATGTTCAAATAGCTTCTGAAATAATCTGTGCAGGCTGAGCCCAGGGGGAATTTCCTGGACCTCCCAGAAGCAGGGTTTTTGCTGCCACATCAGGATGGGGATTTTTTTTTTTAAAAAAGAAAAATTAAAAGCAATATTAGGACTGGGACATGCTTTGCGTTTTGGCTATATAGCAGAGTTACCTTTGGGATGGTCCTGTGTCTGGTGGAAGAACGTGTTGTCCCAAAAGCCTCACGTGCATACCAGTGAGGCTCTGCAGACCACAACATCCTTCCTTGTTCCCACCCATCTGCAAGCCAGCACTTGGCAAAAGCCTGCTGAGGATGTGGAAGACTTTGGGATGGGAGGTGAGCCCTGGCAGTGGAAGAGGGGGTGCTGTGCCTTTGCTGTGTGCTTACCTTCCCAACAGGGAAATGCTTCTGTGGATGAGTGTGGGTTCAGCTTCAGACCTTGTGGTCCTAGAAGGCTCAAAGATGCATCTGGATGCACCTTTTGCAGCGGCTGGGAAGCTGCTCACCCGTGAGCTTCTGCGTGCAGGCACTGAGGTCCCCCAGGATGTACTCCACATGGATGGAAGAGCTGAGTTTCAGCAGCTGCTTTGGCAAAGCACAAGGTGAGCCGAGCATTACAGAGCCTGCTCGTGTTAACATGCTGGTGGCTGGTGCCTTGTGACTTGCTGCTCTGTCTCAGCTCGTGGCTTTGCTCCTGCTGACAGCTTTATGGGCCGTTAAATTACTTCCAGGGTCCACTTGATGCTCCCATCGCATCTGAGCATGGCAGCTCCTGGCACGTGTAGCACAGGAGCTGGGAAAGGCAAATTCAAAAGAGTTTTTCTCTCTCGAGGCAGCAGCACGCCTGGCAGGCTGCACGGGTAATTCCT